CACTACAAGAAACGATTGGATGCTTCTGAAAACTTGTAATGTAAAAAAAACACCAAAAAAACGTTAACACTTCGTGTAAATTGCGAAACGAACCCTTGATGATGAAAACTAAATTATATATCCTAATGTAAAGAAGTAAACATTTTCAGTTGTACGGGATGTATGCGTTGTAAGTTAGCCTATGCCGTCAGCCCATATTGTGTCATGGCCCCTGCAGCATGAAATGGTATGCCGACCCGCAACACTGAACATAGAGGTGTTTGCTCTGACCAAGGCACTGACCACCTGGTACCTGGATTGAAACTATGTCGGTGTGGTAGCATGAATGTGTGCACCGCAGAAAGTTCGGTTGACCACCAGAAAGCTTGGTGGCTGTAACATTTTAGAAATTTACTTCATTTCGCTCTCTGTTTTGGGTACACTCAACAAAGTGGCGGCGGGCGGGGCCTTGAGCACAGTGTCGATTGTTGGCGGTACTGAGGTAATGTGGAATTGCACTCCAACAGGTGGTCGCGGCGACATCACGCTCTGGCCCCCCGCGCGCGGCGCGTGTGGCAGAAACGGGTTCGTTTGAAAACAGCAACTTTGCTTTGCTCACATCTGTGTGGGGCATTGACATTACTGTCTGCACAGATTTGAGCGAAGCGAAGTCGCTTTTACTTTTTTCAGAAGCATTCGCACTCGAAACACAGAAATTCTAACCAAAATTGAAAAACTGACTATTTTATCTCAACTTTTTGAACATTTATTATAATTTTTTCTTCTTGTGTTCAAGATCTTGAATTTCCTTTAAACTTCTGTAAGATTTCGCTTATTCTTCAATCACTGTAAGACACCGAATCACTGTAAGACACCGAGCACGGGAAAAATTTTCATGTAAGGTGTCCTACATTTACAACACTTAAAAAACTGATGTTACTGAAGAAACGTTTCATCATGTGACCAAGCCAGGTAACGTTTTCTGATGCAACCTACCCCATGCAAAAGTATTGGGCCATCACAAACATGTTGCATCACTAAACGTTTCATGGTTTGGTTGCGCCAAGAAACGTTCCCTCGGTAACATTAGTTTTTCTAGTGAACTGACAATTGTAAATTGGACTTGAAATCCATTGACGCAGTCAAGAGTGCGATGTTGTGCATGTACTACGTTTTTTGCCAAGAGTAAATTACAAAATATATTGTTCATTCACAAACGTTCTGTTTACAGTAAATTTAAGTCAAAAATTCCTTGATTCAATGAGGCTATTTTCTGCGTGCGCCTGGCTCCCAGTCATTAACGCTGCCTCGCTGCCGCCCACGCTGCCGTCCGGACGCCTCGCCTCGGGGTCTCGACCCGTTAGAGGGTGGCTAGTTTGCTGCTGCGGCGGCCTGGCCTGGCTCAGCCCGCTGCCCTACCCTCCTCTGCCTGCCGGCGCAACAATTTGTTTCCTGCCGCACCGCGCGAAGCCCAGCACAGCCGGCCGGCCCGAGCAGACAATACAGACTCATCAGGGACCGCACCGACGCCCCTCCCCTCCTGAAACCATCGGGAATTAATTGCTACATGCACCCTCAATTATTTCCAGTTTTCTCCCTCTTATCATGTCAATAAAAACGACAAGTGGTAATCAAACATTTCGATCAAGATGAACTTTGGAAATGTAATGATCAGGTCTTTTATCATGTTATTTCAGCTGACACCTTACATTACTTATACTTATGTTTAGTCGTAGTGTGTATCATCTCTCAAAAAAACTTCGTCAATTTGCTGGGTTGAATTTTTTTAGAAAATGTTGACAGCGTAACTTATTAGTTTCTGTCTGTCTTTTGTTTTTATCATAATTTTTTTACAGTCGCCTTTGGAACTTTTGTGGTGAACTGCTAGAACTGACCTCTCCTTGTTTCTTGCAGACGATGGTGTACCGCGAGGACACGCTGGTGTCGGGCGCGCTCGAGGCGCTCATCCGCCACGCCATCCCGACGGGCGACTACTTCCCGGAGGACGCCTACCTGTTCGCCTTCATTCTGTGCGCCAGGATCTTCGTCCCGCTCAACGAGGTGCTCGTCCGGGTCATCAGGGCCATGGACAGGTGCAAGGTGAGTAAGCTGGGCGATTCTCAAAGCAACAATGGTACACTGCAAAATGCTTGCAAAGAACAGGTTCGTATTGCAAACTATTTTCTTTGCAGCTTGCAAAGAATTTTCAAGCATCGTAATACAAACTAGTTCTTCGCAAGCTTACAAACAATTTCTTTGCAATGCAAACACATTGTTTGCAAGGATTCTGCCAGCTTGCAAAGAACTTCTTTGCAATACGAACTAATTCTTTGCAATACAATGCTCACAAATTCTTTGCAACGTTGCAAAGAATATAGTTTGCAAGCATTTACAGTGTAGCAAACAAAAATAAGGTAGACGTAAAATGATTCGTGAATACAACGAGAAAAAGCTTTTCTTATTTCATGTACATTTTACCTACGGTCAATTTTACTCTTGACGCTAGGTGATGTAATCTTTCTATTCAGAAAATGTTCTTTTACTTCAAGGAAAAAATCGTCTTCGTATGAAAAAAAATTAATCTGGTTTACTTGTAGTATAAAATTACCTGAATGAAGAAAATAATTTTTCTGGTTGTGTCAGAACATTTTAAACAGATACTTTTCTTGTCTTAGAAAAGAATTCTAAACCTCATTTTATTTGGCTGTGTCTAAAAGAAACTTATTTCATTTCATTTTTCAAGGACGAACGGCGGGCCTCGATGCTGGCGCGCAACGTGCTCCGCTTCCTGCGGGAGTGGAGCGACCAGTTCCCCTACGACTTCAGGGAAGAGCACATGATGGGGCTGTGCATCGACATCACGCAGCGGCTGGTCGAGGCGCTGCCCGCCGTGCGCCGAGAGGTGTCGGAGCTGCAGACGGACCTGCTGGCCAAGCTCACGGCCGTCGAGACGTACGAGGAGTTCCTCACCCGCTGCGGGGAGGTGCGCTACGTCAACTCGGTCGAGGAGCTGACCGCGGTGAGTACATCAGGCATTCGTTCAACCACCACCGTAAAAATTACCTTGTAAATTTACGATGTATTTTGTAATTTAATATGAACAAAAAATATGCTGTAAATTTACGATAGCCCAGATTCTTGCTCGTCGATGAATTGATGAATTCCAAGTCGATACTAAGTATTTTTACAATTTTTAAAGTTTAATTTTACGATACGATTCATGGAAAAACACTCGTATTTTTCACCGTGATTGTGAAATTATTCGTTCAAAAATTTATTTATGCAACCCGCTGCATTCATTCTTCTCAGAGGTGCAGTGAAAAAAAAGAGTTTTAAAACAATGGAATAGAACTCACCCGAATGTGTTTTCTATTTGTGATGTCATGATTGTCGCACACTGGGATGTCTGAATACGAGCGCGGCGTGTGCCGATTGAGTGCCGCTGCCGCCTGCGGTCCTTTTGGGCTGTGAATCATTATCAAAGGACCCCCCTCTCCCCCTCCCCTTCTCCTTTTCCCGCGCACGTGCCGCTCCAGGGCTTAAAGGAAAGGCGACGCTCGTGACTCACCCTTTGTCTCCACCAAGTGAAACATATTCGCCCTTCGCGCCTTCCGCCGCGGCGGACGCGGCCCGACGCGCCTCGGCCTTCCCTTCTGTGTGCCACTTTTCCTCCCTTCTCTACGACGGGGTCGCTTTTGCAGCACCACGTCGGCACGCAGGAAAAAAAGAAAAGTAGCAAGTCTTAACTTTATTTTTGAGCACATTAAAAAATGATAAATAAATTTGAGAGACTCAGCTTGTAAATCTACACTAGTTCAATTTGTTTCGTTGCCTAGTAATCCGCATAAATTCATTTACCGTGTAGGTGGTGTCACCTAGTAATGTACACCTTTTTCACATCTTCGTTTTCGCACTAGTGTAGAATCGCTCACTTAAAATTGATTCGCACGTCGCACATAGCTACATTCTAATTTTTACGCGTTTCGAGTAGAAGCGCCGGGGGCGAGCGCGATGGAGTTAAAAATAAATTCGTTTTAATTTTGGGTGGACTGTGCTCTATACTATAGAGTTTGCTGTCAGTTTTTCCGCATTGTCTCTGGAAAGTTTCAGCGTTGGTACATTTCCTGAGCTCACGCTCTCTAATGTGTAGAGTTCTGCATTGTATATCGCTCGGCCTGTGCCGTTTTTCTCACACTGAGATTCTCCTGCGAATGTGAGCTTTAAAATGTTTAAAAAGTCTTGAGCCTGCCGGCCGCTGCCGTTACACTCACGTGCCGGCCTGCCATCCTGAATAAGTCATGATCCGCTACGCGCCGGTGAGCCGGGCGCCCAGCCTCTGATACTGATTGGTTGGGACCAGACCGACAGCCAATCACAGCGGGCGGCTGTTGTTGTGCTTTTTTTTTTCGTTTTGTTTTGTTTTTTCCGAGTTGAGGTGCGTGTGTGAGAGGAAAAGGGGGTTGGGGCGTTAACGTAAAAAAATGTGCTTTTGTCCTCTTCTGCAGTTTTCTCATTGGTCACGACAGGCTTGGGGTTGAACACTTTATTTATCAGGGTTACTGTACTGACCACTGACCATCACACGACGGTCCAGATTTCGGGCGGAGGTAGAAAAGAAGAACCCAAACGGTGAGAAAGAACGGTGTCGACGGATGTCGACTGCTTTTTCTTAAGGCGATGTTCTGTGGGGGGTGGAGGAGGGGGGGGGGTGTTTCTTGCAGACGATGGTGTACCGCGAGGACACGCTGGTGTCGGGCGCGCTCGAGGCGCTCATCCGCCACGCCATCCCGACGGGCGACTACTTCCCGGA